ACACTCAATTAAACCAAACCATGAGGACTATCTCCGGCTCCATCAGATCCACCCCTATCGATTGGCTCCCTGTCTTGTCCCATATCGCCCCTCCCCATCTAAGGCGACAAGAATCTACCCTCAAAGAATACAGGAAGGCCAATCTTCCATGGGAAACGCCCATCCCCATCCAGTCTGAAGTCCTCAGACCACCTCGAACACGCCTAAAATCCAGAAAGCCCTTCTGGACCGAGGGGAAGAATCTCCTGGACCAGGATTTCAACACCTCCGACGCCTGGAAAGATTCTTGGCTAAAGAACCCTCCAAAAAACGGTCTTTCACTCATCGAAGACCCAACAGTGGAAGTCCCTGGCATGGACCTCCCCAGGCGAGAGTGGATCACCCTCAATCGCCTCCGCACTCTACACGGTAGATGCCAAGACTCTCTCTTCGTATGGGGCCTTACCAACTCCCCACTCTGCCCATGTGGTGATAACCAAACTATTAATCACATCGTGAATGAGTGCTCTATTTTTTCCTTCCAAGGAGGTTTCCCGGACCTACACCGTCTCACTGACGAGGCGTTGATTTGGATCCGGAACCTCCCTTTCAACCTGTGACTCTATCTCCTCTTTACTCCTCCTCTCCTCCTTCTCCCGGGCGCTGGCACCTGCAGGGCGCAGGGATCCTCTACTCCGCCTATCCTCTTCCATCTATGATAATGTGCTGTATAGTATGTCATACGAATAATAATAAGTGCCTGGATGCTAACAGTGAACAATTTGAACATCTGTGGTAGTGAACCATGCAATTCAAACCCTTCCTTCTCCATACACTGAACATTGCACCTCTCTGAATTACTTAACATATATTTTATTATTAAAGTGTGTATACATTTTCTTGAGACACCCTGTATATGTTGTAGCTTAACATCTTGTGATTGTGTGTACACAGTTTAATGACAATACTCTCAGCAGTAAAGCAAAATTCAATATCTGATATATATACAGGGTGGTGCAAAAATCTATGCATTTTTGACTAGCTACACTTTCCTCACATAGTTCTTAACAGACTTAACAAACCAAACAGAAACTGGTCATAATTGTTTCAGTAATTAGTTGTTCAACCACAGTTCTGGCCAGAACCTGCAGCTGCTGAGGGAGGAAGTTCATAACGTCCAGTCAAAAGGAATCTGGTCTGGTGCAACATCAGACTTTTCACCAATAGAGCACACATGGGCCATACTACAAGATTCCATCCTCGAAGCTCCTCACCCTGTAGGAGGTACTTTTATAAAGATGATGAAATCACTGTAAAAGATAATGCGCATGTCAGGCATAACGGAATAAGAGGGTCACGCAGGAGAGTCGCGGGTTGGGGTGTGCCAAGTGAGCGAGTCGGACAAGGAGTTGAATTGGAGGATAGTGAGGAGAAGCCTTAGAGAAGATGCGGGATATTGAGTGGACCCTTGATGTTAGTGCTGGAGATCGTATGCTGTCTATCACACCCCACCCATACCACTCGGGTTTATATTCAGGTATTGCTCGTTGAGTATCTATTGCCTAATAAGCATTTAAGGGAATAGAATTTTGAATTTCGATCCCATATCCATTTTCTGGTTCTCCTTATTATTGACCTCTTTCCAAGCTGGTTGTCACAATAAAGTAATTGTATGTTTAAGGAGTCAATGGAGTCATTATAAATCTCGAACACACTGGCGATCTCTTCATGATAATCATTAAAGTTAAATCACGTTGGAGCTGCCTACAACCCCTGAAACAGGAAAGATTTGGTGACTCAACTCACCAAATTGGAATTCAATCCTGCCGGCCACGCTAGAAAACCTCATCGAATCTTTCCCTAGGAGGATCAAGGTTGCAGCTGCTGTTGGTGGTTGAACGACCAATTACTGATCTATCAATTATTGAAACAAGTATGACCAGTTCCTGATTGGTTTATTATGTTTGTTAAGAATTATGTGAGGAAAGTGTAGCAAGTCAAAAATGCATAGAGACTTTTGCACCACCCTGTAGACAATCGTGACTGACCTAGTAAGTGACTGATGCTAATTCTAACCATGTTCTAGAGAAGTTAGAAATCTGTAACTTGGTGCACGAGTAGCTATTGGGATGCAGAGTTCAGAAAAAATCAGACTTTGGAGGTACATGCCCTGGGGGCACATATTTTGGGGGAGATTTTTTTAAAGAAACATTTTTGCTTCAGTAAAACAGAGACATGGAAAACTGAAACTTGACATGAGTGTATCTACTGAGACACTGTATTCAAGAAAAATGTCAAGTTTCAGAGGCATGCCCTGGGGGCACATTTTTTTGGATGACGTTTTCAAATAATTTTTTTGTCCTAGCATATTAGGCAGAAATAGAAAGATGAAAATTGGCACACACATAACTGATGATGTTTCAGTCATGAAATATTCACCTTTTATAGTGTATCCCCTCAGGGCATAGCTATTGGCTGGGTTGGATTCCCCAAATATATCTTTTCACATAAGACTGAAAATTGGTGGACATGTAGTTCCCCAAGTACTGATTTCAGTAAAAATTGTAATTTCTTGGTGAAACCCCTTAGGGAACCTTTTTTGGCAAGAGATGCATTTTCCTGAATATTTTTTGATCCAACAAAATTGAGAGCATTAGAAAGTTGAAACTTAGTGCAGAAGTACCTAATGGATAGCTGAGTAAATAAAACACTCCTACTTTTGAAATATGTCCCCTCAGGGCAGATTATGGAAGGGAAGTATTTCAAGATTTATTTTCTGCTCAGACAAAAAAAGGCACATAATGATATTTTACGTTTGCACACAAGAAATCATCTGAGCAATGATTCAGATTAAAATCTCAGTAAGTTTTTGCCACTTCAAAAATGAATGAATGACTATTCTAGATCATGGAGCACCGAAGGTGCAACTACGTGGAGCTTTTTTGCCCAAAGGGCAAACAAACTCACTAGTCAGAATAATGAGAAAAGAGACTACCACAGAAACAACTTATACAGACACCCTGGAAGGCATGCATCATGTCATGGAAGGAGGGGAAGGAAGGTACCTTTTGGGGTTCGAGATGTATACTCTGTGTCGAAGTAGAAGGCATCATCAGCAGAGCGATTCACAGCTGGTTGGAATGGAGGTTGGATCTCCTTCCGTGCCAGCTTCTCCCAGTTGATGGAGGCAAAGAATGGGTGGCGCTTCAGTTCATCAATCCCATCAGGTCCTGGAAAATTATTCATTTTCAAGAAGCATCAAAATGGCACAGGCAATAAAGTGAAAATCAATCTGTAAGTCACAGATGGGTGGCCAAAGTTAGCAACAAGTGATGCACTGTTAAGACCCTTTGCAGTGGCTGATGAAAAAGTGCCATTTTTAAATTTTAAAATGGTCATTTTAATCAATTCACTGCTTACATGATGCATTAACACATCATGCTCCAACTCCCAGTGTGTGCTAGCTCAATGTGTCAACTTGTCATGATTCATGAACTTCTTTTGTCTCTCAGCAACAGCATCTGGCTTGATTGATGTCCATATAACACTAAGGGACCTTCCACCAGATAGAGGATTTTTTGGAACACAATAAACAAAGGATACATGACATATAACCATTTAAGTAAGACAACATTCCATGGATATTAATTTTCAAAGACTGTCTACCAGTAGACAAGGTATGTGCTCATTAAGTGAAAAAAAAGTGGGAATTGAATTGCCTGACAGTGGTTCTGAAGACGAAATTATTGATGATGAGGACAACTTCATTGTATCTGATGATAGTAGTGAAAGTGAGGATGGTGATGACAGTGAACATAAAATTAGTTGATGAAAGACCTATGGCTACCACTGCTTTGCAATCTGCTCAACCATGTGCTAATGTTACAGAAGCTGATGAGAAAGATGTTGTGAAGGATGTTGCTGGATTTCCTCATGAAAGAACAAGTTTTTTTTTGGATTTACTGTAGCACAAAACAAATACCCTACTTTTGAGTAGCAGTGAATTGAATTAAATAGCATGAAACCCCCAGCACAGTGGTTGGCCACTAAATGCACTGCAGTGAAAGGGTTAATAAAGCCTAGGTTTATTGTTTTTATCACTGCCTTTCAACTATAAAGCCATATTCAGAATTTCCTTGGTCTCCTTTTGATATTAGACCATAATAAAGGTGCTACCATTTCAACTTTTACAGACTTGGCTTCAGGCTTTGAAGGAACCCTACTTTTTGGCAAAATAAGCCCCACCTCCAAATATTAGAAAAATACCACAGCCTATACTGTCAGAAAAATGTGAAAAAGGCAAAGTGACTCCTATCACAAATTGGTAAAAAAAAAAAAAATTGAAAAGGGTGACTTTTTCCAGATGGGGAAATAAGATGGAATTACCCATATTATCAGTCACATATGAGCAAAATCAAAGCATCTAATAATGCTTTAAAAGATGCAGTTTTCTTTGGCCCAGTGTTATATGTGGGCAGGTGACCTCAATTTCTCATGAGTGGTGAATATTTTTTAGTATTATAGATTATTCAATCATTCATAGGAACCAGTTGTAGTAGGAACTTTCCAGTTCCATCTTGGTCAACTATTATAGGTGTGTCCACTTTATAAAAAAAAGTGGCTCTTCAAAACAATCACATACTAGTGAATCCCAAACTTAACGTCATCAAGAGGCACATAAGACAATTAAAAGGACACCAATTATTATTAATTCTTAAGTTGCAACATACAAAGACCCATCAAAAAGTTCCACAACTGCACATTGTATTGCTAATATATTCAACAAATTCAGGTTTTCATGTGATAGCCTTCAAAATACTCTCCTTGACTCTCCATAATATTCCCCCAATGTTTATAGAGAGACTTTAAGACCTCCTGAAACCCATTATTTTCAACCTCTTACCGTGCCTTGATCACAACCAACTGGAGGGCATCAGTGTCCTCAAAACAGCAACTAATCATGAGACTCTTGATCCTTGGAAACAACATCAAATCACGAGGTGGAAGGTCTGGGGTGTAGGTAGCAGTGTTATTTGCAACTGATAAGGAATTCTCAGATGAGTATCAATTTGTGACACTTTCTTTTTGCATTCTCATGCTAGACCTTCTATGTGCACTGTCTGAAGAGTTCTGGGCATTTGTGTCTGACAGTACTGACAGCAGTGATGAGCCATGAGAGAATGTCTCTGTAGAAGGCAGCAATGACAGTTTTTTCAGTGAGGAACAAATTCATGGTGGACAATGCCCCAGGCATTGAAGAAAACAATGAGCATTGACTTCCCACGGTTATATGTTGGTTTGGCATTTCTTTGGACAAGGGTGTTTTCCACACAGAACTCTGAGCCTATGTCACAGGGTTGAATAGGTACATCCACATCTCTTCCCCTGTGATGATTCATTGCAAGAATGCTGGATCCCTATAGGCAGTTGCTTTCAGGTCTCTGCAAGTGTCAATGTGATGCTGTTTTTGATCATTAATCAGAGTTTTCAGAACAAACCATGCAACTATGTGATTGCATGTTCAAATCTTTGGTTAGTACCACTTGACAGGATCCAGATGAGATTCCCAGCCTTGCAGCCAAGGTAATGATGGATTGACGATGGTCACTGTGGACAAGTTTGGCAAGAGCATTGAGAGTGGCCTCATTGTGGCTTGTGGATGGCTGGCCCCTCCATTTGTCATCATCAATTAATTTGTGGCCTTTGCAGAATCGTTTGTGCCACTCACACACACAAGATTTGCTGAAGGTATTTTCTCCTAAGGCTACTGTTCACAACTGCCAGGCTTCTGTGGTAGATTTGCCAGCCTTTGCAAAGCATTTGATAACTGCACATTGCTCTAATTGTGACATTGTAGCAAATGACAAGGGTTCAACACAACACATCCTTTGAAAACATCAGGGACACTAAGGCAACATCATTTCTCACTGAGCTTGTGAAGCTTGCTTCCCAAGGTCATGTTCTTACTATACTAGCAGCCACAAGTCCGGTGCTATTACATTTAAAATCACAAGAGTTGGTCTTGGAACTTTTTGATGGGTCCTCATATATCTTAGCAAAACTTCAAGAACAGTAACCCCCAAATGATGAACTATGGTCAAGACTCATCATGACAAGTTCTTTGAAGTTATTCCCTCCTCCCTGTTTCTGCATCTGATTGCCTAACTAAACTTGTAATTTTTTATCACTTCATCTGTATCCAGGCTCATTTTGGCTGGATAGATCAAGCAAATAAAAATAATTTGTTTCATACCAAAGAGCACTTGGGGATGGAAGGGGGGAAAGAGGAGGGAAAAAAAAGCAGAGATTGAGTGATGAGGATAAAGGGTTCCATGGGTTGAAGCAATTGGTGATAACTGGATATATGAATGGTGACCTACAGCAACTGAAAACCTGTTTCAGAGAGAGAAAGACCTGAAAATATTATATATTTTCATTTGAATATCGGTAATACCTTGAGGTAATCAATGCCTACAAAGCTTCAGGGAGACTATATAGTGAGACATGTTTGATCTAGTAAAAATAGCATAGTGTTAGTAAATGAGATGAACTGGAAATATTTTTTGCATTAAGCATTTAGAGATACACAGTAATAACACAAAATAAAAACAGAATAACACAAAAGGAGCAAGACATTGGCCATCTGCATCCAATCAAAAATCAAACTCCAGACCTAAGGATCACGTTCTTTGCCATCTTCAAGTTCATCACTCTCCCTTCCATGCATTCTCCCCTTTTCCCTCCCTTCCAACATAACACTTGATCTCCAAATTAAATTATCTCCTACACCTCATACTTCCAACTACCACCCTAACCTATCTCTTCAGGTGCTATCAGATCCAACATTCCTGTCAATACAAACTTCTGTCTTCCATCCATATTCTCCTGCATATTCTTGTGTACCAGTTTCTATAAAGACTTGTGTGTGTAGATACACTCAATTTTCTACTGGGGTCCTTCTCATGCTGCCTTTCATAGCAACATTTCTCTATTCAATTTGATCCTTCCAGTCTCAATCTTTTATTTAAAAAATGGTCAACTGAGTGGAATGGCTCATTGGGGGGAAATTTTCTGAACTACAGCTGCAACAAGAAGCAGATGGCCACAAAGATTGCATTCTCATATGACAAAGATAGCAGATTGTCAGATTGGAAATTACCAGAACAGAGCCGGTTGGCAGGGATGCGCTTGAAGAGGGCACGAAGGAGGGCTTGAGCAGTGGGGGAGAGATTCCTTGGCATTTCCAGCTTTGCCTTCAGAATCATTGCCATTGTTTCCTTTCGTCCCCCACCTTGGAATGGGAGCATTCCTGTCAGCATCTCATACTGCAAGACATTCCAAACCACTCAATATCACGATTGTGGTCATGCTCATGATCAGCATCATCCTCTTCACTCACTTTAACCTTTTAAAAGAAACTCTCAAATACTTCCTAACAAGTTTAAATTTGCACCTCACCAGCTGTGATAGGGAAATTAGAGAAACGTTCTTCTTGTGGGGCAGGCCTAAACTGTTAGTCATCTATTCCTGCACCTTATCTGAGAACTCATCTATGGTGATTGTTACTAATTTAGAATGGGACCTATAGGAAGGAAAAATATATTTTAGAATTCTTTAAATCCACTTGGGTCCATGTATGGAAAGGTATACTTCATCTTCCAGATAAACCCGCATTTCAAACTTAATGCTAAACACTGTGATGTCAGTTGCCTCCTCAGAAATTGAGGATTATGAGAGGTAGAGAATAGAAAAGAGGAAGAACAAACCATGAGGACACCATATGACCACCAGTCTGCAGCAGTACCATGACCCTTGCGATTGATGACCTCAGGTGCCATGTATTCAATGGTCCCACAGAAGGAGTATGTGACCCGCTCCTCATCCAGACTCTCCTTGCATAGCCCAAAGTCCGTCAGAGAAATATGTCCATCTGAGTCCAGTAGGATGCTGGCCAAGGAGGAAAAGAGAAAACTGATATCAGAGAAGAACATATCTTGTATCCTTCAAGATCTATTTTGGCTTGTGCACCCTAGTTATTCTCACTTTTTTTCATGGAAATCAGACAAAGACATGTCAGGCAATTACATAGGGAGTGTAATGTCTTTTGATAGAAAGAAAGTTCCCTAATACATAATTAAAATTGATATAACCAGATTCACAATGATTGTAGGAGGCACTCTTCATAAGAAGACTTTAATCACTGTACGAGACAATACACATGCTTGATATAGTGTAATATAAGTCCCGTGCACTCAGAGAGAAGGGTCAGTTGGTCGGAGAGAGGATTTTGTTGTTGGAATGAGAGTCGAGAGTGTGTGGCATTGAAAGTACAGTTGAGAACTGTTGAAAAGACGCGGGACATGTTGAACCCGAGCGGGTCGAGAGCGAATGCTGGAAGTCTTTACACCGCACACTAATATCCATTCAGGTATTGATCCTTTTGTATTCTTCATCCATTGATCATCTGATGCAATAGAATCCAAAATGGTTCTAAACATCCCTATTCTGATCCTTGCTATTATTGATCTCACCCAATACTGGTTGCCTCAATAAATACACTGTATTACATACAAGGAGTCAACGGAGTTATTATAACCTTGGATATGCTGGTCATCCGTTTGTGAGTCATTAACGTTAATTCAAATCAGAGCTGCCTTCATGATTACCTATGAGCGTGGAGGCCACTTAATGGTGATATACAGCAGTACAGGGTCGTGCAAAAGTTCCCGTACACTTTGAAAATATAATTTTTCACTAATCAACGGATTTTTGGCGATTCGGATGTGTTTTTTTTTTTTAATTATACGGATATTTTTTATGGGAAATGTTTTCATTATAGTAAATTTCAGTCTTAATTTGAATTTTTTCCTCTGGAGTTATGACGCCTAAAGAGAATCGAAGCGCTAATCGAAGTGTACGGGAACTTTTGCACAACCCTGTAATCTCAGATATACTCAGCACTAAGAACTGGCTAGATTTAAAAAGTGGCAGACATATAGAATAACTAGCACTGGATCATGTCTCAAGCTAGTCAACCATGAGGCAATGTGACCCTGTGACCCTAATGGCCATTGCAAGAACCAATATGGTAGGAGACACATGATGCTGGTGCCAGCTTCAACAGCCAGACTCCTACCATGCAACCAAAATTAATCTGATCAATATGTCAAAGTTCTTCTTTATCTCCTATTTTGCAAAACAATTTCCTTCCAAGAATAATATCTGCAAAGATAAAAAAAAAAGAGACAGTAGTGTCATGGGTTTTGCCTTTCATTTCTAGTTTGGATAGCGGAAGGGGGCAAAATGAATTTGACCCACCTTGTATTCTCCCTCACCAGAGTATACAATCATTAATGCAACAAAATTAAGAGAATCCTGACCTTACCTGGGTGGGCTCCAGATGCAGGAAGCTATTGTCCCAGCAGATTGTTATTGGGCATCAGTTGTCCCCTGATAACTCCATCAATTTTATGATTTAAAAGTTCAGAAAAGTAATTGTTGCAGTAGACAAGCATCAGAGGGCAAAACAATTTTGCAAAAAGAAAAATTCATCCCTACTATCCATGATGCTAAAGTGAAAGAAAATTGTATATCTATGAATGGGAAATCAGCCAGCACTGACCCTGAAAGACACCACTACATCAAACTCTGCCAGGTAATTTTGACGCTTTGCCCTGGGGAAGGGAAAGCATGTCTTGAGGAGTCCTCTGTGTGATATGATGGAGCTCTTTCAATTGATCAACAATATCCCTTGCAGACATCATGGTTTTTCACTAACAGCATGCAATCAGTGATCTCAAGGACCAGACACAGCTTGAAAACCAATGCCATTACATGGGTTCCACTTGGCCATAACATGGGATATGGCTCTTCACGAAGCATAAAAGGCCAGCAACATGACTGTGCACCTTATGCTATCCTGCTTGTCTTTGCATGCATTCTTGCAAGAAGTACTAATGAGCATTGACAACAAAATTCTTCTCCACCAACAAAAGCTCTTGCTTGCCCTTTGGCAACACTGTCATGTCAGAGTTTATCTTTCCCCCCATGAACTCATATATGAAATTAATAGCACAATCAGGGCGAATCCAAATCTGCATCCCGTTTCTGCTTTAATGCAGTTCATTGAATGAGGCGGCCTGTGGTAGGGTCATGCACTTTTTCTGCTCTGATTCCAATCTGCTAAGATAATAGTACAGGTAAATAGGGAATATTAAAAAAAGCCACCCTATTTGGAGCGACTTCCATTGTCTTGTCACCAGTGTCTTTCTCATTCTCTCTTTCTCACTTTCCAGGCTCTGTGGGTTCCATCATCACTTACACACCCTTTACAGGGTGGGCAAAAAAAAAACAAAAGAGACATGAGTTCTATCAAATACAGCAACTTCTTGCTGGAAGATGAATCATTTACATGCTATTTACATGCCTATGAATTTTTGGCAAAGATAGTGACCAAAAGTGAACACATTTACCAGCTGTTGTTCAAAATGGTGAAAACCATATCAAATGTCTTTCCACAGACTTCGACCAAGAGTTGGTGTCTTCTAACCAATTGTCCATTCATGGAGTCTAGTTCCCTCCTGTAAATAGGAAGCATGGAAGTACCATGCTGTTATATTTGCCCATTTTTGAATATACTCATCTGCAAATTTTGATTCTGACACTCTTCTTCATAGAGTCCTGATACGTTGTGATGCCCGGTGAAACCAACATGGCAACAAAAACATCAACAGTGACATTGATGCATCACTGTATCATGATAGTCCTAATCAAAAGCAAGGGAAAATTAACACCCAGAAACTGTGAAGAGATTTTGAGGGTTTGGGGGTTCTTCAGTGAAAGAATGGGTTCTCAGAACAATGCACAGAACTTACAAGATTGTCTTGTCTGTGAGAACAAATTTAAGCTTGATGCAGGCCTTACTTTTCAGGTTTCAGGTCCCGGTAGATGATGCCCAAGGAGTGAAGATGGTGAAGAGCCATTGCTAGTTCTGCCAGATAAAACTTCACATCTTCCTCTGTGAACATATACTGCAGAAGCAAAAAAGTAACAGGGCTGGTATATCATATTTTTCCTGATATCCAATCCAATAATAAACATCTAAGAAAAAATAAATCACTAAATTGGTGAATGAGTCAATTTTAAAATGTAAACCATAATCATTCTTTAAAAAGGAATCTCAGATGCCAGTCTTCCTCTCTACAGTTTTTAGGGCTTGAAATATTATATACATTCCTGCAGAAACCCATTTGGAAAATCAAATCAAAGTAAGTCCAATGGAGCTTGTATATTCACCCACAATATGAATCATTGTATTCTTCAACCAAGGTATATCGTAAGTTCTCACCAGCCGACCACTTCTGTCTCTCACACGTCCAAACTTCCATGTTGCAATGTCTCCCATTAGTTATCAGTTCAACTAATTTCATGATAGAGAGTGTCCATCATTAACAGGAAAGAACGGGTTTAATTAATCCCAAACTTGTCGAAAATAAGGTCTGCCATAACATTGCAGTCCGAAATTTCTTGGAGTACTCAATTTTCTGAAATTGGTCTCGCCGACAGGCCACGGGGATCATCGACCGACCAACTTGGTCTCGCCGGTCGGCCATAGGCAGAATCAACCCCCAATGCTCTTAAACTTCAAGATAATAAAGAACTTAATTTTAGAAGGTAGTCATGAGTAGATAACGCAATTATTAAAGTTATCGTTAACTCTTGATGAGCTGTTATCGTGCATTTTTACCGCAGGGACTATTTTATCCTGTTTCTCATTTGGGACCAAAAATGTCTGGGACCATATTGTCCGGGCCCATTTTGTTCTGGATTCAGTTCCATAAGCAGATATAGTTCATACCATATTATTTGTGATTCCTCAACCAGTTTCAATCTCAAAGTGTCCCTTCAATGTTGGCCTACCAGAATTTAAAAATTGTCAACATCCGATCCGATCTATAGTTACAAGCGTTGTTTAGTCACTTCTCTGTGATGCAAGAAATTCAGTTACCAATTGTGGTGATAGACTACACTATTAGAATNAGTGTGTGGTCCTACTTGCAGGCCAAGGTCTGCTGCAAGCCACACAAGAGTATCAATAGTTTGAAGCTTGATCTGCTGAAGGAATGGAATGAATTGTCGATTGATCAGTTGTGAAGAACCGTAAATGATTTCCCAAAACGTCTGAAGCAGGCTATTGCCTCAAATGGTGATGTTTTTGAAACATAAAAACATGGTTCTTTTAGTTTTTTGTGGTCTTTGCACTGGTCAAATCAGAAATTAAATTGATCTTCATTAGAGAATGCTACACTTGATTAAAGGTGTCCAAGGACTTTTGAGTCACCCTGTATGGTTAACCTAAGTTCTCGCCGACCGACCACTTCTAACATACGGGTCCGAAATTCCCAGTTCAATGGCACCCATAAGCACCTAATGAATCAATTCCACGATAGATAATAGAGTGCCAATATCTAACATGGGAGGAACGGTTTTCATTCATCCCAAACTCGTCGAAAATAACGTCTGCTATGACATTAGAGCGCCACAGTCCCAGAATTTCTCAAAGAATTGGAATCTGTCAGTGGGATCACCGGCCAGGCAACGAGACCTTCCGCATCATCATGGTCTCGTCGCGCGGCCAAAGGGGTAATTAACTCCCAAATGGACTACTCATTTTTCATTTAGTCTTTTCCTCATAGTAATCCCAGAAATGGGACTGGGATGGCTTTGAAGCAAAGTGATTTTCCCACGTTTATTTTCATTTCCAAAATTCAACAAAAGCAATAGCAGTGCTCCCGATCAAGATTTAATTAATCCTTCTCGAATAGAGGGGGAGGGGTGGAAAATTAGGCGAAATATTGGCTCACAATCTAAAGATTAAGAAAAAGAAAAAGAAGCATTCAAGCACAAGGATGGCTTAATTCTTTGATGGGCCCTGCGTTAAAAATACGGGGCGTGCGCCCCCCCCCCCCCCGTATTATAAAAAAAAAAAAAGCCTGATAACTTGGGAGGAGGGGAGGGGCGAATGAAGCCGCAGTGTGGACAATGGAGGGACCTTATTGCGAGCGCCATGCTTCCTTCTGTGGCCAGCGGACCACCCCTGTCATGACATTTGTACTGTCCAGTGGCGTAGCGAGGGCGGTGGCTTGGGGGGGGGGGGGGGCCTTCAGCCCCCCCAAGTTTAGTTCATGCCCCCCCAACGGTCACCTTAGACCCCCCCCCCTTGAAGGGGGGGGGGGGGGGGGGGGGGGGGGGGGGGGGGGGGGGGGGGGGCCTTCAGCTCCCCCAAGTTTAGTTCATGCCACCCCAACGTTCAGCTTAGACCCCCCCCCATTGACAAAAACCGGGCTACGCCACTGGTAGTGTCTGATAAGTAGTGATAATTTTACTGTCTAAGTCTACAGGAAATGTAAGAACAGAATATGATGATGCCTCTGAATACTTCGCATTTGGATAAGAAAATAAATTATCAGGCACAGAGTGGAAGTTGTGTGAGGGACTCACTTGCTCCCAGAGACGTCACCTTTGGGCCTACCTCTATTTTCACATTAGAACTTCTCTCCACACACTACACCCTGTCTTTTATTGACGTCACGAGAAGCACTACTAATGTGACCATCATTTGTGCTGATGGACAGAGAAATTTTGTATTTATTTCAGATGTTTTATTTTCATATTCATTTCATTCATTTCAGAACAGTGATATTCGGTGGTCGTCCGGCGATCCCAAAACCCGCCTGACCGGCCGGCGGTAATTTATTATATAGGAAGATTTCTGTGTCCCCATAACGAAGAAAAAACAAACTGTAGAAAAAAAAACTAAAGACCTACTTCCTTGGATAGTCGGGTGAAGAGGTCCCCGCCACGAAGAAAATCCAGAATGAGGTACAGCTTCCCCTCTGTCTGGAACGCGTAGTGGAGGCGGACTACAAATGGATGTCGCACCTCTACAAGGATGTCACGTTCCATCTTCGTCCGCAAACGGTCCCTCACCTTCAGTGTTGCCTTTTTCAGAACCTTCATTGCATAAAGAGTCCCCCGGTCTTTTCCAATCACCTTCCGCACCAGAAACACCTATCCAGAATGCCATAACAATAATAGGTGGAAATTCCACATACAGAGAATTGAGTTGCTTATCTTTACAGCATTCCTATAGTTTCCAAAGGAAACATTATAAAGACAATGAGGATTCGTGAAGTTATCCGAACAAAAATATTATGATCTAAAAAGTCAAAAGGAAAATATTTATAAGAAACTTGACAAGCACAAACATTGGTCCTGCTGAATATCTACTTGAGACCCCTGCCTAGCATGAAATCAAACTGTGTTCCTGTTGTTCTTTCATCACTTACTAATAATTACAGAAAAAGGACTCAAATCAAGTTCTCTGTACACAAGGTGCTTCAGGAAGCATGTACGGCACTCACTGAAAACCACATCAATAAACTCAATAACAAGATACTGCATCTATTCTGTTTAGCCTTAACCCCGTGATTTTCATTCATGGCGATTTTATGCACTGAAAGAAACAGCATTACTTCCAGCCTTCAAATCCAAGTGCAATGGGATTTGAAGAACAAGCATATTGAAAATCAGGCCCAGAATATGGAAGAAAGGGATTCTAATAGTGTAGTCTATCACCACAATTGGTAACTGAATTTCTTGCATCACAGAGAAGTGACTAAACAACGCTTGTAACTATAGATCGGATCGGATGTTGACAATTTTTAAATTCTGGTAGGCCAACATTGAAGGGACACTTTGAGATTGAAACTGGTTGAGGAATCACAAATAATATGGTATGAACTATATCTGCTTATGGAACTGAATCCAGAACAAAATGGGCCCGGACAATATGGTCCCAGACATTTTTGGTCCCAAATGAGAAACAGGATAAAATAGTCCCTGCGGTAAAAATGCACGATAACAGCTCATCAAGAGTTAACGATAACTTTAATAATTGCGTTATCTACTCATGACTACCTTCTAAAATTAAGTTCTTTATTATCTTGAAGTTTAAGAGCATTGGGGGTTATGATTTAAGATGTTTATTTCCACCAAATCATCGTATGCTAGAGCAGCACTAAAGGTTCACTACCTTCTCATTCGCCTTCCCTTACCTTGCCCATCCTCCCCTCCCTCTTCCATATTTAAAAATAAATATATCCTAAGGGTATATACAGGGTGGGCCAAAAAAAAATCTGTCGTTTTTGGTGTGTCGTCAATCTCTTTATAGGCTGCCATCTCTGGTTAAAATTGGTAGGCTTTTAGAGTGACACAATTGGAGCTTCTACTTCGAATTTCAGCTTTCTGGCTCTAAAATTATAGGAGCTGTAATTATTCTCTGATGACCCACGACAAAATGTACTGTAAAAAAAAAACATCAATATGAACTTGAGGCTGGGATGAAAGGGAGGACCGAATTCATGACCTTCCATTCCTGCATGATGCTACAGAGGAAGATTGGGAGACACTGCCGCAAAGGTTTATTGACCAAGCCATTGATCTGTAGTGTCCCAGACTAGAGGCTTGTGTTCAACAGAATGGAGGGCACATTAGCACCATTTCAGTTGAAATGAACGTCCCTAAACCAAATAGTGTGCTTTCATTTTTTGGCATTTGTGCACTTGTTTTTGTTCTGTTTGTTTGCTTGTTTGTTTTTGTCAGCTGTGAAACATTTTAAGCTGAAATAATAATAAAAAATGAACACTTACTTTTTTGGTGATGAAAAGTAAATTAAAATGCCAATCTCACAGTTTTTGGAATTTTTATTTGAAATTTTATTGAGTCACCCGATGTGTCTACCCAATTTCATCAGAATCGTCAACCTACAATCAGATTGACAACTTAAAAAAAATGATAGCTTCGCCTTTTTTTGGCCCGCCCTGTATATATATTTTCAAATATAAGTGCGGGAATATCTAAGAAATATACAGGGTGTGCCAAAAGTAGGTATACAGTTGTATGTATGAACTGTGTAAGAGAGAGAAACACATGGAAATGTCAGGACAGATTCCGTATTCTCGGTCTTCCAGTATTGTTTGAGTACCCACTTGCGTTGATCAAACGTCAAATTCCTAGTCATCACTGTCTATTAACTACCCCCAAATAAAAATAAAAATAAAATAGGCAACTGCATACCTACTTTTGGCACACCCTGTATATTCCCTTACTTGCCCGTTTCCTTGTCCTCTACATTCCTTGGCTTAGTACGTACCCCCCCCCCCATGATGGGTAGAGGGCATTTTTACCACAAGGACCATTTTTTCCTATTTCTCATTTGGGACCAAAATCTCTGAGGGAATTTTGTCCGGACACCATGGAACTCATACATGTGAACAGTAACAACCAATAGTTTGAAATCTATCAAGTAAAACATCTGAAATCTGGAAACAGTCGATGTCAGCAAATATCTACTAACATTTGATATCAATGTAGTATTATTACTTCTCTAGTTGCAAGGCCCTTATACTGAATTTGATGTCTGGTCAATTACACGAATGGTTATTTCCCCGACGGTCAGTTCCAAGGGGTCCGGAAAATGGTCTCCCGGATAAAAGACCCCCAGAATTGGCAAAAGCGGAAAAAATCCACTTGAGATGAAAACAGAAAAGCGATACAAAGTTTTAAGTTAAAAGAAATTAATTTTGCATGTTTTGCGAATGACTCATACCGTTATTGACGCTTGTGCTTGTAATTCGACAAATCAAATTTACCTCTGATATCGCAATTTATGCATAGGATATTGTAGTATTCAATAAATATATTATGTGACATTTGTGACATTTCCTGCGGGAAGTGGGAGAATGCCTAGGGTGGCTTTTTCCCGCTTATGCCAATTGAGGGGGTCTTTTTCCCCGACAGGACAGTTCCCCGAATGGCAAATTCCCCAAACGGTGAGTTCCCCGACGTCATATATCAGCGATCACACAGTCGCGGATGGGGGGCAATCGACCGCACAGTCTCTTACGTTAATAAATTCCCCTCTTCTTGGATTTTCTAAAATTCAGATACCAGTGAAGTCCTAATCTGAGTGTTGCTGCTCAAATGACGCTATTTCTGTCTCAGGGATAAAAGCCGAAAATGAAATGCCACCCAGTCTCCCTCATCTCCATGGGTTGATTTTTGGACTATCCCTTGCTTGTCACTGAGACAGAAGAGAATGACACGAACAACAGAACGACTATACCTGATACAGGTTTCATTTTGATTTAATGGTGAAAGGAGGCTTACCATTGAATTTTTTCCCCAGACAGTACTTCCTACTCCCAATACGTTTTCCGTCCGTCCCCGCTCATTTGGTTCTATGTGAGCATATAGCCCTCTGGAACAAGAAGATTCTTTCCCCTTTCGCTCTTCACAAACTCCATGAATCCACGAACTCAAACTCTCGCACTGTCCAAGGACTGACCACTTAATGATCTGATTCCTAAGCCACCCGACTTCTCCATATACGTGGTATAGTCCCTTTTTTTTATCTTGATGTCGATCGTTTCATCTCTGGTGGTCGACAGGATTATCCTGTAACCATTTCTGTTGCCTTTTTTCATCTTTCTTTTCCTTTCCCGCGAGAATCTCTATCAATGATCTGACTGGCATTGTATCGGTTGCCATGTTCCCTAGACGAACCAAGTTTCCTGAGGTGGGAGCAAATAGTTAACCCTTTGACCGGCAAGTTTCACAGACACCTGTATACGAGAGCCCGTAAAATTTACGGGCATGCCGGTTAAAGGGTTTAATGATTTCCTCCCCACCAGGATTAAAGATTAGCGACCCCTTTTCCTTCCGTTTGCTAGACCTCCCTCGCTTCGGTTCCGGCTCCATTGGGGGCCGGCCGCATCCCCCCCCCCCCTCACTCCCCAACGCATGATGTGGGAGACTTGATACTTTATTTCGAAACAAATCCATTACCTTTGTGTCACCATCGTAGAATTCATCAATAGGGAATTTACAGGTCGGGGGATTTTACAAACGGGGAACTGACCGTTCGGGGAATTGGCCATTCGGGAACTGTCCTGTCGGGGAATTGACCGTCGGAGAAATAACCATTAGGGAAATTGACAATCACGGGGAATTGACAATCACGGGGAATTGACAATCATGGTATTGAGCGCGGGAATTGACCGAGTGAACCCGGACTGGGTGATCAGGTGAACCCAAGTCCTTTGAAGAATGAAGAATACATGTGACGATACACGAGTCAAGGAGAGAATAAACTCCTGGTGACAACTGAAACCGCACATGAACGGAAGGGATGACCCAAGGCAGAATAAGAAGGAAGAACCAGGGATATTGAATTGTCCAACAGCGACAGACCTTGCCGAAAGAGCCTTGGCCGAGGACTTTGAGCAGCTCAAATTGACCAGGGTGGGCCTTCTCGTGACCCTCCCGAGTCACCTCGGTCACCTCTATCTCATGCGTCTCTGTCTCGCTCCCATCCTCCACCACCGTCCGGTTGTTGCTGCTGCTGCTGTTGTGAGTGGTATGATTGTTGGTAAGTGGCAGAGACTGGAAGAAAAGAAAGTACTCCTATTATGCAAGTAGCCAACGACCTGCGTTCGGACAAAGTTTCAACAAAACCCTTTCACTGTAAAAGCGAAATTAACTATTCATAGTCCCTATACATGCATGTGATCCCCATGACGAGAGGTCGAAAATAATCGGATGGAACATGTCAAAGTTACAAAGCATTCATTGCACATATTAAAAAAAAACTCCCGCCCTTGCCAAGGAAAGGGATCAAGCATATTCACATAGTATACCATTCTGGCAGGACTGCAAAGAAGGGCATGCCAACGATCCATGTGTGACAGTCCCTGGCTCATCTTTATTAAAATATAAAAAGGCCAGAGAACGTGCAAATCCTCATATGTGCAACTGGCAATGCGGATCTGGTACACGCCGCATCACGAGTGACTACATCATGAAACAGTCTACAGATATCTACATCTATGTATATGAAGCATTCCACTGGAAACGAGCTGGATAGGTCCTCCATGGCTGCTCTGGAGACTCATTTGAAGAGAAACGCGAGCAAGCCTGAACATCGCTTTCTTACGGAGGACTCAATCCACTTTTTGAGGAAAAGAAATTGTTCCATGTAGAAGGAATTAAGCCTCAGAGACTATGGATGGCAAAAGAAAAAGACGAAATTCGTCATTGTCGGGCCAGGGTGAGAGACATACGTCGTGATTACGCGAAATGTGTGACCGGTACTGGTTATGAGATTAAGTATTGTTTCCAGATAAAAGGAAAATACATTTTCTTTATTCTGCAAAAAATTTCATATTATTGACTGCGTTGCTGGAATAGTAAACAATAAAAAATTGAAAATTGGCGGCACTTAAAGCGTTTTAGCAAAGTGGAACTTTCAACGACCTCATTAATTACTCCCGTAACGATTAGTATGTCCCACTCCGCGAAACAACTCCTGAGAGGGCTTCACATACATAAATCTTTCCAACATAACTTTTCGTCCGCCTTTCTGGTTCGTAATGAGCACCATGGTTATCTGAAGTGAAATGAATAAGCACAAAACACCATATTTATATATCATTCGTCTGTAGATATTGTACTTCGAATAATGGAATCTTGCTCTCCTCCCATACTTCACAGGGGGCACGAAGGGATTGTCAATCAAGAGTCGTCAGTCTTAACCCTTTAAGCGGTTTCGACGTCACTGTGACGTCCGCTATGGTATATCTACTGCAGCGGTAGGACGTGACAGTGACGACCAGTATGGTAGTGTACGTTTATGACATCTCATGGGTGTATTACCGCCGCAGAGAATGTTCCGCCTTCTTAAATGACCAGCTCAAAGGGTTAAACACTGTTTAAAGATTTTCTCACATGATCCTCTGAATGGAGCTTTATCTTTCAAGCCTTCCTCAGAATCAATATGGTCCTACCTCCGAGATAATTGCAGGCGACCGGACATTCTCATGTCAACCGTCGCATGTCACACTTCAATTATCCATTACTATCGAAACGAGTCCAAAGGTCAAGCGAATTTAGCAACATAATCCCACACACCAGATCTTATCTCAAATTATTTCCCTCCCACGTTTTCCTGTGCATTCCAGGAAACAATTATCCTTTCAGTGATCCAGCGTTGAAACATTCTGGAATGTAAATCTTAGGAATGTATATCTTCATATTCGTGTTTTATAACTTGGATGCATGTGATATATTTAATGCATTCAATGGTTATATTTCACGTTTTGAAAATATAATGCATTTATTTTAAATAAAAAAAAGAAGCCGCAAGAGATATTTGGAAATATTATGCAAGTGGGCAGTTTTTCGTACTTTGCAGGTATTGGCGTTTTATCCGTGGGCATTTTTTCTTGTGGGCGTTTTTACTGTGGGTATTATCTCCTTGCGCATTTCTTCAGTGGGAGTTTTTTCGGGGACCCAAAAAAGCATAGAGTAGCACGCATCGTGCACTCAAATAGCGTACCGTGAATCCAGAGGATCCGGTCATTTTTATATTATGGCCAAAAGTGCTGAGTCTCAACCATCAACTTCACAAGCTCAATGTTGCAGTAACCTGTTTCAACCAGCCACCAGTATAACGCGGACATCGGGCAAAAAAATTGCAATTCACGTGCTGTCCACTTTTTAACTCTTTGAGGAGTATGAACGTACCGGTACGTCCATACTCCCGAAAGATTTAAGAAAGCTCGCTCCTCAAAGGGTTAATCCGGCCAAAACACATGAAGGGAAGATTATCGAGACAACGTTAGTTTACTACCGTCTCGTTTATAGTCAACTATTGATAACTCGAAGTTAAAGGGGAAGGGAAGAAAAAAACGATTAAACGAATATTCGAGCTATTGAGGTCTATTAAATTATATACACTACAACATCGTACATACATGCATACAGTACTACAAAGCGTGTAACATCTACTCGTTGTATCATTATCGCTTGGAAAGGTCAGTCAGGAGAGTTTGGCGTATTTCGGGTTAGGACATAATGGTCCTGGACAAAATGGTTCCGGACATTTTGGTCCCAAATGAGATATAGGAAAAATGGTCCCAGCGGTATAAATGCATAACAACTCATCAAGAGTTAACGATAATTGAAATAATTGCGTCATCTACTCATGACAACTTGATAAAATTTAGTTATTTATTGCTCTAAAGGTTGAAAGCATAATGGATTTGATTAAAGGATATATTTATATCTACATTCTATGTTAGAGCAGTACTAAAGGTTCGCGAAGAAAACGAATATTCGAAGGGATTTCGATTTCACTTTCGGATATAAGTTGAACGTAAAGCGTCGTAATCCTCATCTTATCCCATGAAAATTTGGAACAAAATCACATGAGGGATGTTAATGTTCCACTGGAGTTAATGGAGATGTTCAATTTAATGTTTTTTCAAACTCATCCACTAAGGAACCACGACTAGGATAGGGATGTCAAAATTCTAGTCTCATCTCAGTTCAGTCATCGTCTGGCTCGGCCAAAGCTACAACGCAACGAGGAAAATGGAAGACTGAAGTTTAACTGGATTACGACTGAACAAAAAGGTGAATTCAATTATTGACTCTCAACGACGGGAGGATAAAGAAACTTAAAAAATAATAGGATAGCCTGAGCTAGATTGACAGGCGGAGGGGGAGGATGGATGGGTGAGGGGGGAGGGAGTGGGTACAAAGCCAAGGAACTTGGAGGACAAGAAAAGGGGCAAGACAGGGCGGGGAAGATGAGAAGGGGATGAACTTTCTAACTTCTATTATTTCTAACTTTCTTTGGAATTCCAGTTTTAGCTATCCCCCCTTCGAGGCAAGTCCGGTGTCCGTCCACAGACCCAAGATGCCAGACCACAATTTCTTTGAAAAGGTAATTTCCGGGTGGTGGAGCTAGGCGTAGGGTTGGGTGTCTACCTGACCTCAACCCCCCCCCCCTGCTGATTTCTTGCCTACACTACTGAGCAGGGTCGTTCGGATCCGCGATCTAAATTAAAGAAATAATGAAAATGAATCGGATTCAAGGTCGTGGCCTCAAAGCAATATGCTTTGAGTCGAGTTTTTCTCCTGGTCGTGGAGCTTCATTCTCAGGGAGTCGATTCCTCGCTTGCGAGGCGAACCTCACGAAAGTCTCAATCGGTTGATCTAGCTCTAGTCATAAGGCCGTCATTACGCAATTCAAGCATCGAATAATACAGCGCTCAAGTTGTTATCCTGAACTTTTTGTATGCTCACCGCAATCTTATTGGAATCTCGTCGAATATGCATAGGAAGATTCATTTAAAAAATAAATCCTTCATTCCATAATCATAAGCATTTATCTAATTTACAGATCATGGGGGGTTCATTGATGTCGTACAGAGGCTATCCTCTGTTCTCCACGGGGTTCCGGTAATAGGAGCAATTATCCCGGCGTCTCGAGATCAGATGCCTTAAGGTAGGAAGCAACCCAAAAATCGAGGGTCTGTAATTTGAAATTTGGTTTATAATTATTGTAGGGGGGCTCAAGAGGAGTGGAAGGAGGGTTCTCACAGTGA